CATTATATTTAAGAATAAGATAATTACAAATAAGTTACACTATAAACATGTGAAAAATAATTAACGATTCTGCATCTGGCATACACACATTTTGATCATACATGGACATCAATTTCAGTTTATCATCTCAGTTTTTTTAATTACACAAAAATATACACCTCTTGATGTTGTGAACGACTGTACTGAGCTAAAAATTCACATATTTCAGTAATCAAATCTGCCCCATTATTTATGAAATATGCAAAGAACTCTCAGAAGCACACTTCATTTAAATGAATGGCTCAAATCAGCTTGATTTAAATCGATCTACCCTATTATTTATTTACTACATTTACTACCCCTTCGCATCCTAAAAGGGGAACTCCAAGCAGCCTTACAAAAAGACAGCAATTTGATGCTATGCACATACATACATACAGTAAAGAAACCAGAGAAGCATCCCGAAGCTCTGAAGATCACCTGGGAAGGAATCCCACTGGAGCATTGCAGCGCACCCAAATACCTGGGAGTCACTCTGGACCGTGCTCTTACCTACAAGAAGCATTGCCTGAACATCAAGCAAAAATTTTGGTAAAATTTTGGTTTATATTTTTCCCATATTTTGATTAGTGAAGATCTGATGAAGTGGTTGCCGAATTTTTTTTCTATCTTTCTTTTGGCATACCACATATATGCATGCCACCCGCTTCTAAAATCATTACCTGTTTGAACAGATCTCCCTCTACGATCCACTTTGGAGGTTAATGTCTTCCGGGGAGGTCCTACTCTCGGTCCCACCTCCTTAGCAGGTGTGATTGGCAGGGATGAGAGATAGGGCCCCTTGGCTATGGAATTCCCTCCCCAGCGAAAGCAGAGTAGCCCCCTCTCTCCTGACCTTCAGGAAGAAAGTAAAAACCTAGTTATGGGACCAAGTTTTTGGCTAGCAAGTTAGTACAATATGAGTATATGGTATTGTGAAATGACGAATGGAATGGCTTTGGATTTGACTCTGGATGACGTGGTTTTAATATTACTGCTGATTTTTGGTTTTAACGTATATATCTGGTTTTTATTTCTCATGTCAGGGCAGCCAGTCAATTATATTACATTTCTAACAGAACAAAGCAAACAAACAGAGAAAATACAAAATGTGTGAGTTTGGTAGTTGATTAAATGTCCTTTGACCAGTATCTGGCCACTTGGAGTGTTTCTGGTGTTGCTGCAAGGTCCTCCATTGTGCATGTGGCAGGGCTCAGGTTGCATTGCAGCAGGTGGTCAGTGTTTGCTCTTCTCCACACTCGCATGTCGTGGATTCCACTTTGTAGCCCCATCTCTTAAGGTTGGCTCTGCATCTCGTGGTGCCAGAGCGCAGTCTGTTCAGTGCCTTCCAAGTCGCCCAGTCTCTGTGTGCCCAGGGGGGAGTCTCTCATTTGGTATCAGCCATTGGTTGAGGTTCTGTGTTTGAGCCTGCCACTTTTGGACTCTCGCTTGCTGGGGTGTTCCAGTGAGTGTCTCTGTAGATCTTAGAAAACTATTTCTTGATTTAAGTCATTGACGTGCTGGCTGATACCCAAACAGGGGATGAGCTGGAGATGTCTCTGCCTTGGTCCTTTCACTATTGGCTGCTACTTCCCGGCGGATGTCAGGTGGTGCAATACCGGCTAGACAGTGTAATTTCTTCAGTGGTGTAGGGCGCAGACACCCCGTGATAATGCGGCATGTCTCATTAAGAGCCACATCCACTGTTTTAGTGTGGTGAGATGTGTTCCACACTGGGCATGCATACTCAGCAGCAGAGTAGCACAGCGCAAGGGCAGATGTCTTCACTGTATCTGGTTGTGATCCCCAGGTTGTGCCAGTCAGCTTTCGTATGATATTGTTTCTAGCACCCACTTTTGCTTGATGTTCAGGCAATGCTTCTTGTAGGGAAGAGCACGGTCCAGAGTGACTCCCAGGTATTTGGGTGCGCTGCAATGCTCCAGTGGGATTCCTTCCCAGGTGATCTTCAGAGCTCGGGATGCTTCTCTGTTCTTGAGATGAAAGGCACATGTCTGTGTTTTAGATGGGTTGGGGATCAGCTGGTTTTCCCTGTAATAGGCAGTAAGAGCACCTAGAGCTTCGGAAAGCTTCTGTTCTACCATCTCAAAGCTCCCTGCTTGAGCAGTAATGGCACGATCATCAGCATAGATGAAGCTCTCTGTCCCTTCTGGCAGTGGCTGGTCAACCTGAGGGAAAACTGATTAAAAATGATGTACCAGTGGTACATCACACCGAATATACTGGCAAAATGTTACAGAAACGTCTCTGAGACATGTTGGAAATGCCAAAGTAAAAAAGGCACTTTTCCCCATCTATGGTGGACATGTGAAAAAGCAAAAAAATCTGGAAAGAGATCCACGAAGTAATAAACAAAATATTGGATTTAAGAATAGAAATGAAAGCTGAATATTATCTGTTAGGAATATTAGATTTTGAACTCAAGAAAAATAAAGACAAGCTATTCTTCCACATGGCAACGGCAGCTAGAATTGTACTAGCAATAAAATGGAAGAATATAGAGATACCAACAGTGGAAGAATGGAAGATTAAAATTCTAGATATTATAAATATGGACTCCCTAACACAGCATCTGGAAAACAAACAGAAGACAGGCATAGCCAGGATGGATTGGTCTCCAATCAAAAAATACTTCAAGATTAACCAGACTTAGACACGTGAGAATGAAGACTAGAAAATATCAACACTAATAATGTTTAATGGGGCAAAATGGATAAATAAGACCAAGAACTCTCTCCTGACCCATTCCCCCACCCCCACATTTCCACCCATTCACTATCCCACACCCTACCTGAACCTTCCCCTCCCAATCCCCACTATTTGTTTTTATGTAATGGTTAGGTTGAAGACTCTTAACTCGGATGTATCTCCCCCCCCATCTTGAAAACTCTTAATATATTGTATGGACATATAACTTGTAAGCCACTCTGCGTCCCCTTCGGGGTGAGAAGGGCAGGATATAAATGTCGTAAATAAATAAATAAATAAATAAATAAAGCACTCTACTTGCCTCATTTCCAACAAACCCCTGAAGAGGCTTGCCACAGATGCAGGAGAAATGTCAGGAAAGAACCTCAAAAACTCACAGCCTATTAACACAGCTGTTTCCTGGTTGTATGCCACCTGGAGTCACCTTCAGGTTCAGGAAAGGTGGGATAGAAATATCGTAAATCGATATAAATAAAAATGTAATGTTCGTTTGTGGGATTAACATAACTCAAAACCCACCGGACAAAATGACACGAAATTTGGATACTACACCCCTAACAGACCAATGAGTGACCATCACTCATAACCCTCCCCCTCCAAAAAAAACAAACAAAAAAAAAACAGTGGAAAGGACTTAAAAAACCTGAAAAGCTAAATGACGAAAGATACAGAAAAAAGGGAAGGAAGAGGAGAAAGAAGAGAGAAGAGATGGAGAAAGGTAAAGAAAGGAAGAAAGAGAAGGAAGGAAGAAAGAGGGAAGAAAGAGGTAGAAAAGGAAGAAAGAGAAAGAGGAAAAGAAGAGGGATGGAAAGAAATGGGTAGAGAAAGAAGGAAGGAGAGAAGGAAAGAAAAAAAGGAAAGGAAGGAAAGAGGGAGCGAAGGAAGAAGAAGAAAAAAGAGAGAAAGAGGAAGGGAAGGAAAGACAGGAGGAAGGTTGGAAGCAAAAACCAAAGGAAGGAAGGAAAGAGGAAGAGAAGAGAAAGGAAAGAAAAGAGATAAAGAAGGAAGGAGGGAAGGAAGGAAGGAAGGAGAGAAAAGGAAGGAAAAGAAAAAGGGAGGAAGGAAAGATGTAGAGAAGGAAGGAGAGAAAGAGGGAGGAAAGGAAAGACAGAAGGAAGGATGGAAGCAAAAAGCGAAGGAAGGAAGGAAAGAGGTAGAGAAGGAAGAAAGAGAGAAAGGGAAGGAAAAGAAAAAGGAAGGAAGGAAAGAGGTATGGAAGGAAGGAAGCAGATAAAGAGGGAGGGAAGGAATAACAGAAGGAAGGATGGAAGCAAAAAGCGAAGGAAGGAAAGAGGTAGGGAAAGAAGGAAGGAGAGAAAGAGGGAGGGAAGGAAAGACAGAAGGAAGGATGGAAGCAAAAAGTGAAGGAAGGAAGGAAAGAGGTAGAGAAGGAAGAAAGGAGAGAAAAGGAAGGAAAAGAAAAAAGGGAGGAAGGAAAGAGAGCGAAGGAAGGAGAGAAAGAGGGAGGGAAGGAAAAGACAGAAGGAAGGATGGAAGCAAAAAGCAAGAGGAAGGAAAGAGGCAGAGAAGGAAGAAAGGAGAGAAGGGAAGGAAAAGAAAAAGGGAGAAGGAAAGAGGTAGAGAAGGAAGGAGAGAAAAGAAGGGGAAGGAAGAAGAAAGGAAGGAAGGAAGGAAAGGAAGGAAGGAAGAGGAGGAAGGGAAAGGAGAAAAGAGGGAGGAAGAAAGAGAAGGAGGATGGAAGCAAAAAGTGAAGAAGGAAAGAGGTAGAAAGGAAGAAAGGAGAGAAAGGGAAGGAAAAAAAGAGAGGGTAGAGAAGAAAGGAGGAGAGAAAGAGGGGAAGGAAGAAAAGGAAGGATGAAGAAAAGGAAGGAAGGAAGGAAAGAGAGAGAAGGAAGAAAGGAGAGAAAAGGAAGGAAAAGAAAAAGGGAGGAAGAAAGAGGTAGAGAAGGAAGGAAGGAGAGAAGGAAAGAAAAAAGGAAAGGAAGGAAAGAGGGAGCAAAGGAAGGAGGGAAAGGAGAGAAAGTGGGAGGGAAGGAAAGAAGGAAAGAAAGAGGGAGAAGGAAGACAGAAGGAGGAAGCAAAAAGCAAAGGAAAGAAGAGGCAGAGAAGGACGAAAGGAGAGAAAGGGAAGGAAAAGGAAAAGGGAGGAAGGAAAGAGGTAGAGAAGGAAGGAAGGAGAGAAGGGAAGAAAAAAGGGAAGGGAAGAAAGAGAGAGAGAGCAAAGGAAGGAGAGAAAGAGGGAGGGAAGGTTGGCCACAGCAACGCTAGTATTAAGTCAATAAGCATTACTAGCTTTCTTTCCTTGTCGGCCTGGGTCTGGGCGCGTGAGGCGTGAAAAGGGGCGCGGCTATATCCAGGAGGGCGTGGCCTCGGGGCCGCGCGCCGCTTGCTCCGCCCCCTCTCCCTCGTGCTGCTGGTGCTGCTGCTGCCTGGCAGGCAGGAGGGAAGGCAGGCCGGCCGACGGGCGTGCGCGCGGGCGGGCAGGCGAGGCGCGCGAGCCGCCCTTTCCTGCCCGCCGGGCCATGGAGGCGCCCTTTCTGCTGTACCTGGAGGCCGGCTCCCGCAATGGCAGCAGCGGCATGGGCGCGCCGTCCCGCAACGGGAGCTCCGCCTGGGCGCCGCTGCCGGGCTACTCCCCGCCGGCCGTGGCCTGCCTGGCCGCCTTGGTGGGCTTCCTGATCGCCTTCACCATCGCGGGCAACGTGCTGGTGGCGGTGGCGGTGCTGAGCGGCGGGGGCGGGGGCGCGCTCCGGGCCCCGCAGCACCTCTTCCTGGTCTCGCTGGCGGGCGCGGACGTGCTGGTGGCGGCGCTGGTGATGCCCTTCTCGCTAGCCAACGAGCTGCTGGGCGCCTGGCCTTCGGGCGGGCCTGGTGCCGGCTGTACCTGGCGCTGGACGTGCTGCTCTGCACGGCCTCCATCGGGCACCTCTGCGCCATCAGCCTGGACCGGTACTGGTCGGTGACGCGCGCCGTGGAGTACGGCAGGCAGAGGAGCCCCCGCCGCGTCAAGGCCGCCGTGCTCCTCGTCTGGCTCCTCTCCGCCGCCATCTCCTCCCCGCCGCTGCTCCTCGGGGAAGCCGAGGCCGAGGGGGAGGACGTCCAGTGCCGCCTCAACGACCAGACCTGGTACATCCTCTCCTCCTGCGCGGGATCCTTCTTCGCGCCCTGCCTCGTCATGCTCCTCGTCTACGTCCGCATCTACCGCGTGGCCAAGACCCGCTCCGGGAAGCAGCGGGCCGGCGAGGACGCCTTGAGCGACGTGGAGCCGGAAGACAGCAGCGGAGGGGGAGGAGGAGAAGGCAAGGATCCCCGCGGCCTGGGGTCCCGATCCAGCCGGCGGCGCCGCCAATCCGGGTACTTCTTCTCCACGCGCCGCCGCCGCCGCCGCCCGGCCTCGGACGGGCTGAAGCAGGCGCGCGAGAAGCGTTTGACCTTCGTGCTGGGCGTGGTGGTGGGCGCCTTCGTGCTCTGCTGGTTCCCCTTCTTCTTCTGCTACAGCCTCTACGGGATCTGCCGCCAGGCCTGCCCCGTCCCCGAGCCCCTCTTCAAGTTCTTCTTCTGGATCGGCTACTGCAACAGCTCCCTCAACCCGGTCATCTACACCGTCTTCAACCAGGACTTCCGCCGCTCCTTCAAGCGCATCCTCTTCGGGAGGAGCCGGAGGAGGAGGAGGAGGACGCTCAAGGACCGGCTCTTCTCCCTCCACTGACCTCCCCGCCACCAGGAAGGAAGGAAGGAAGGAAGGGGGAAGCTCTGGGTGGCAGAGCCTGACAGCAGTGCCATGAAGGAGGGCAAGGAAGGAAGGAAGAGGGAAAGGGATAGGAAGGAAGAGAAGAAGGTGGGAGGAAGGAGGAAGATGGGAAGGTAGAAGCGAGGGAGGAAGATAAGATAGGAAGGAAGGAAGATGGGGAGGTATAGAGAAGGAAGGAAGGAAGATGGAAGGAAGGAGGAAGATAGGAAGGTAGAAGATAAGGAAGGAAGATGGGAAGGTATAGAAAAGGAAGATGAGAAGGGAGCGAGGAAGACAGGACAATAGGAGGAAGAGATGAAGATAGGAAGGTTTAAGCAAGGAACAAGGAAGAGCGAAACGGCAGGGAGTAAGGAGAAAGGAAGGAAAGAAGATGGAAAGGGAGGGAGGGAGGTAGAAGGGAGGAAGGAGGGGAGGTATAAGGAAGGGAGGAAGATAGTAAGGAAGGAGGAGGAAGATGGGAAGGTATGAGGGAGGGAGGAAGGTATAAGGAAGGAGGGAGGAAGATATGAAGATGGGAAGGAGGAAGAGGAAAGGGTGCAAGGAAAGAAGGAAGGATGGAAGGAAGGAGAAAGAGAGAGAGGGAAGGAGGGAGGGAGGAAAGAAGGCAAGAAAAAGAAGGGAGGAAGGAATAGATGAAGATAGGAAGGTAGAAGGAAGGAATGAGGAAGAGGAAAAGGGGCAGGGAGGAAGATAGGAAGGTGGAAGAGAGGAAGGAATAGTTGAAGATAGGAAGGTAGAAGGAAGGAATGAGGAAGAGGAAAAGGGGCAGGAAGGGAGGAAGGAAGGTGGAAGAGAGGAAGAAAGGAAAGATAGGAAGGTGGAAGGAAGATGGGATGGGAAGGAGGAAGATAGGAAGGAGGAGGAAAATAGGAAGGTAGAAAGGAAGGAAGGTATAAGGGAGTGAGGAAGGTGGAAGGAGAAAAGAATATAGGAAGGTAGAAGGAAGGGAGTGAGATAGAAATGGAGGAAGGTAGAAGGGGGAAGAAGTACAGAACAAAGAGAGGAAGGAAATATAGGAGGGTAGAAGGGAGAAAGAAGGAAAGGAGGAAGATGGGAAGGAAGGGAAGATAGGAAGGCATAAGGAAGGAAGGTGGAAGGAAGATAGGAAAGCAGAAGGAAGGGAGGAGTTATGGGGTGTGTGCTTGTTTGTGTGGATTCCTCTTTCATCCCACACAGAAGCAGGATATTCCTGGAAAGGGGAAGCAAGACATAGTGACAAGAGCTTGATCATCTCAGGCCCTTAAAATCTTTTATACCCGAAGGTGTTTATATCATTTGCCAAGATGTGGTGAAAGAGTCATTGAAACTTACTATTTTTTTCTTAAATAAATGTTTCTAATCTGTTCTCAAGCTTACTGAACTCTTTACACTTGGAGGTGGGAGGTGAAGGTGAGGAACTAGAGAGGATCTTGTGAACAGGCAAGGCTTCAGATGGCTCATGCAAGGGCTCAAATTGGGGTTTGCCACCTGGTGGCGAAACTTTGAATGTACCAATCCAACAAGATGCCTTGATGTGTGTGTTAGGAAGGGCTTCTTAAACTTTCCCACTTGGGACCCCTTTTCAGCCCCCAAATTTTTTACATGGCCCCAGGTATATAGGTGTGTAAAAGATATATAGAAACCAAACATTTACTGATAATAAATCAGCATTCACAAGGCTTGTGAAACAGGCTACGTTTCCTTTTTGTGGAGTATAGCTGAAACATTTCGGCAGGTCCACTGTAAATACTCCTACTTGTTGCTAACAGATTTGTGTAAAGAGGCAGTGCTCAGAAACCTGATAGTGTTGCCAATTTTTTTTGTGTGTGATCCCAGCATTGAGCTAAGGCAGTGTTTCTCAACCTTCCCCTTGGTACAGTTCCTCATGTTGTGGTGACCCCCAACCATAACATTATTTTCATTGCTACTTCAAAACTGTAATTTTGCTATTCTTGTGAATCGTAATGTAAATATCCGATGTGCAGGATGTATTTTCATTCATTGGCCCAAATGTGGCACAAATACCTGATACACCCAAATTTGAATATTGGTGGGGTTGGGAGAGGGGATTGATTTTGTCATTCGAGAGTTGTAGTTTATTTATTTATTTATTTACAGCATTTATATGCCACCCTTCTCACCCTAAATGGGACTCAGGGCAGCTTACTATCTATCTATCTATCTATCTATCTATCTATCTATCTATCTATCTATCTATCTACACATACATACACATACTCATGCATGCGCACCATGCTGACATGTTCCAAGCATGCCTGCTCTCCCCTCCTCCGGCTTGGAGTCTTAGAAACAGCCCCCCCCCCTTGGCTGAGAGGCTGGCCAATCACAGCAGAAGGCGGCTTTTGATGGGAGGTTCACCTCTGTTTCCATAAAGGAGGAAAAGAACAGGTGGAGAGATCTTCAGCTTTCTCTGACAAAGGGATTCCTAGGACCATCTGAAATATATATTTTCTGATGGTCTTTGGTGACCCCTCTGAAACCCTCTCATTACCCCCCCCCCCAGGGGTCCCAACTCTCAGGTTGAGCAACACTGAGCTAAGGGGACCCCATTTGGGGTCAGGACCCGTAGTTTAAGAAGCCCTGCGTTAGGATAACCAACTACATCCAATGAGTTGCTGGTTTGTTTCCTATTTTGCTTTGATTTTGCTATTGGCACAATAAGTATTTATTTATTTATTTCGGGCACTTCTACCCCACCCTTCTCAACCCCCGAGGAGGGACTCAGGGCGGTTTACAACCGGCACAATTCGATGTCAACAATTCAACAGATAAAATACATAACAGCAATAACCACAATAGTTAAAACATTCAATTAATACAATAACAACTAAAAAACCAATCTAGTGGCCAACGTTCACCGAGTTCTAAAATCTGTAAGTCCATTCAGCATTACCATAGTCCTTTCCAGATTCTGGTTGTCATTACCTTGTCAGTCTGCCAGATTACCCAAAGGCCTGGTCCCATATCCATGTTTTCAGCTTCCTTCTGAAGGAGAGGAGGGATGTTGATGACCTAATTTCCCCGGGGAATGAATTCCACAGGCGAGGGACCACCACTGAAAAGGTCCTGTCCCTCGTCCCTACCAGCCTCACTTGTGATAGAGACAGGGCCGAGAGTAGGGCCTCCCCAGAAGATCTTAAACTCTGAGGTATTACACCGATTCTGTAATACCATATTACACCGATTCTGCAACAACTGCATTGGCTACCAATAGAACATCGGATCTCTTACAAGATACTGATCTGGACATTTAGAGCTCAAAATGGCCAAGGACCTTTATATCCTTTTCTCCATCAGTATTCACTTCGATCCACCCAGGAAAATCTCCTATACATACTGGGCCCTATGGAGGTACACCTGGAAGCTACAAGGTGTAGAGCTTTTTCGGCAATGAGTTCCAATTCTGTGGAACTCATTGCCTCCATACATTAGAGCAACGTTGGAGTTGCGAACTTTTGTAAAGGGACTCAAGACTTGGCTGTTTGGTTGTGCATTTAAGTAATCAGATCTAATTTGCCAAATAGTCACTGTTGAATGTTTTTATGTTGAATGTTTTTATATTGTGTAAATGCTATTTTAGACTGTAAATCGCTCAGAGCACCTTGGTGGAGAGCAACTAATTAAGAAATAAAGTGAAGTGAAGTGAAGTGAAGGTGGGACATAGAAGGAGATACGTTTGGACAGGTATGCTGGGCCGGAGCCATATAGGGCTTTATAGGTCAAAACCAGCTCTTTGAATTGTGCTTGGAACTGGATCGGCAGCCAGTGGAGCTGACATAGCAGAGGGATGGTATGTTCCCTGTATGAAGATTCCTAGTCTGTTTTACAAGAGCCAAACTATTTTCTGACACTTTATAAAACCGCTTAGCAGGCTTCAGAAGCAAGGAGACAGAACATTTCTAGTTGGCGCTTCCTCCTGCAATTACTCCTGGAGAAGATCTGTAGATGCAAAGGGGGGACCTGCTGAGTTACATTATGCATATTGCTTGCTCCAGGCATGGCAGAAAGTGGCATTTCTCTTCAGACCTTGTTCCATGGTAAACAAATCTTTGAGATTAAACTGAGCTTAATTGAATGAGGCTGGCATCTTGGGCTGCCCAAATCAAATTGATCCCCTTCAGACAGATACCAAATTACTTTTCCATTTCTCCTCTCCAAGAAATGAATATTGCCGGAAGCTCTTTTGCTTAGTTGGAGTGGAGAATGGGCCCTGCCCTCTGCCTTCATTCTCTGCTGCCCCTCTGGCATCTTGGGGGTTTCCATGAAGCTTCAGGTTTCCAGGAAATGTTTGTCATCCTGCTGCTGTACTCAGCTTTGCCAAACTAGTGTCAATATAAGGTTCACCTTTCTGTTACCCCCTGTCCGCCCCGATGCCATCAGATGTAGAACAATAAGTACAGGGAGAAGTGGGTTCAACCAAAAAGGACAGCAAGATAACATGGATGTGCCAAGGGAACTTGTATGGTTTTAGGCCACTGTTCATTCACAGCCATTGATATCAGAAATATTATTTCAAAAAGTGCAGGAAAAAGCAATCTTGCATTACTGTAGGTAAAGGTAAAGATTATCCCCAGGCATTGAGTCCAGTCATGTCCAATTCTGGGGGTTGATGCTCATCTCCATTTCTAAGCTGAAGAGCCAGTATTGTCCATAGACACCTCCAAGCTCATGTGGCTAGCATGACTGCATGAAGCGCCATTACCTTCCCACCAGAGCTGTACCTATTGATCTACTCACATTTGCATGCTTTCGAATTGCTAGGTTGGCAGAAGCTGGGGCTAACAGCAGGAGCTCACGCTGCTCCCTGGATTTGAACCTACAAACTTTCGATCAGCAAGTTCAGCAGCTCAGCGCTTTAACCCACTGCACCACCGGGACATTACCACCGGGGTGGGTTAACCAAGAATACTCTTGAACCTCTAAGGCAGGGTATCAAACTCATTTTCATTGAAATAGTCTTATGGTTGCCTTCAAAGGACCATTGAATC